GTTACTTCGTTAGGTAGTTCTTTGGTTAGTTAGTTAGTTAGTCAGTTTTTTGGTTGCTTACCTACTTGCTTACTTACCCACTTATTTAGTCAGTTGGTTAGTTAGTTGATAAGCGAGTTATTAGAAAAGATGCCGAATCTGATCGTCATGCAGGATTTTGCGTACCTCATTTGGGCAATGAATGGAGGTCTAAAAAAATTGTAATATTCTGCCAGGCTTTGTGAGGGTTGACATAAATATGATAGTTCGAATATGACCTGCTTGGACGTGGTGGCATGGGGAAACCGGCAATTTCAAGGACTGGAGGAGACTGGTGCAATTGGATGCGCACAGAAGTCATTCCAGCCAACTGGCAAACCAAGGTCTGCCGTGAGTGGGTCAAAGATGTTTGAAGACAGGTGTCTAGACCTTTGTTTAAGATAATTTCAAAAAGGCCCAATACTCATGACTTTATCCGACCACATCACTTTTAGTCGTGGTTTCTGAGCTTAGGTACCTTTCAGATGATGAAGCACTATTATGCCTTTCTGCTTTGAGGCACCATCGGGCTGCCGGAAAGGTGAGCTTCACTTCGCGTTGTTCAAGGATAAATGGGATTCCCCGTATTCTGTCTTGAATGGGGTGTTCGCACATATTTTGGAACAGTGGGTTCCAGATCCACTTGCTGATTACACTAGAGTTCAAAAATACACCTGAATTGGCTGTTCCAAACATACGGGCATAAGTAACACGGCTTCCAGGTTCCCTGATATCACGAAGTCTATCTTTTTTAATTAATTTTGTTATCGACATTATCATGAAGTGCATGCTCCAAAGAATCACGAATTTATGTATCGAACTCACGTCTGGAGACAGATAAATGGACTTTCAGGAGGTTTGCTACTTGACGGTTGTTGGTCCGCGCAAATACTTGAAACAGAAGATTGGAGATGAGCCCATGTTTTGGCATGCATTTTGCACCCCAAAACTGCAATGTCCTAATTTAAAATATTCCGTCGTCTCATTAATCTACTTCAGAAANTCGACTCATTAATCTAATATACTTCAGAAAAAAGGGCTTAAGCTTGTTGACCAGTTCATTTAGCTACATCAGCCTTAGACGTGCCGTAGTAAGTGAAGTCGGTGCGTAAATAGGCAAGGCGCAAGTAGCGTTGACTAGTCCCACTGAAGCCAAAGCAATTTTGAGAACAGTCTAAATTTGTGGCTATGAGACTTTGCTCCTGCGATCCGAGGATATTAGGTTCATTCAAAAGTTTGATCATTGGTTTTTCCGTAGCTGGCTTCAGCAAGTACGTAGCATGTGGTGTGTAAACCAATGAATCCCAATCGGCAGTTGCCAGTTTGAGGTGGCTGAGACATGTATTACGTACGCTCAATCACAGTCTCCCACAGAAAGCAATTTTTTCCTTAAGATCGCTGATTAGGCGATCGCGAGGGAAACGCCATGAAACGTCAGTGTGAAACGAAATGGGCTGCAGTCAAACTAAGTGCTGTGGGATTATCGTGCCTTCCCGGCTGGTGTACACATGATCCTGTCGCACGTGACTGCAACCCTGCAGAACGTGGAACACAACCAAGCGCGGTGGTGCGCGTGCCGCTATCTTCTAGCCTGAATGTCTAGCTAAAGCTCGCTTGACCCTGGCAGCTGGGTTTATGTTTGGTGAGGTTAGTAAAGGACAATGGATCATTCGTGCCAATGGTGCCCCGATACGACATAACACTCAAATATGTTTATTTTAGTGTTGTCCAAAGATGTGGAAACCATATTCTCGATAGTCTTCCTTGAAGGCATGAAGTTCTCACACTAAATCTCTGTCCTTTTCTTTGCTCTCCGCTCCGTATTAAAGCCTTCTTTCATCACGACTGTGTGGTTTTCGAGCTTCGGTACTTATTGCTATTGCATCGGTACGAATAATGGTGGCGAGATTTAACTAACTAATCCGTTAGCTAGCTGGTTATTCAATTAATTAGTTGTTGGTCAGCTGGTTAGTTAGTTGGTTGGTTAGTTACTTGGTTAATTAGTTAGCTAATTGGTTGCTTCGTTACCCAGCTAGTTAGATGATTAGTTATTTGATTTATTGACCTCTTCGCTTACCTGGATAGTCAGTTAATAACTTGGTGCACAAACAGATGCCTTGCTTTGAGGGCACAATACCAGGTAGTTTTCAAATGTCCCAGTAATTTCCATTAAAGTTTCGGGTTGTTTATTTAAACAGAAGTCCACTGAATAAACCAAATCACGGATTAGTAAGTTAAGTGATTTCAACTCGGTTGTCTAAACCTAATGGTTATTCCCTTTCCCCCCACCAGAACCAAATTCTATGAAGAGTCCAAACACACACTTAGATGCCAATTGTGCTTGCATTTCTCAGGCAAAACGTGAAACCACCATTTATTATTTCAGTAAGATACAGCTGTCGTTATTTCTTTACTCACAGCTGCAGACTTCTTGTTGACTATAGACCTACCCTGATTTTGTTTCTCCCTACTGTTGAGTTCACCGCACCTCATTGCTGATATCGCTCTTCAAAAATAGTTCAGGACGCCCACTGTGTAAGCTTGGATATAAAAGACGAAAGTTTGTTCAATACACATATCCAAAATCCACCAGAGTGGGAAAGGCTGTTACTGACAGATAGCTAAGTTTCAGCAATTTGCTTCGAGTTTCTGAAAACTGGTAAAATCTCTGCACAGAAGCTGAGTCATCCGTTGGGAAACTGTACGGATACTCTGCTCAAAAAGCCTTATTTTTCCGACGATTCTGTGAGGATATGTCTCGACACACTGAATAATTACTGAACGACTTGTATGCAAACCTTGGAATATTTCATCAATTTGCTAGGCCTCTGCAGTAGATACTTCCTAACAGTTCATTATATCAGGTGAACAATGTTAGCTTCAGTAATCGTAATCCAAAATTGATGGACAAGGTCTTGATTAATGAGGACGGGACTTCTTCCAGGCTTCAAACTTCTATACTGTGAAGTCCATTGTGCGACATCGTCTGTCTGTTATAAATTTATAATTACGCAATGCTCAATACATCGCTATGAGATCGTTCGCCCCCCAGTAACTCAGCATGCCTGTTTTGATACAGGGAACCGGTGAATTCAGATAGATCAACCAAGCAGTGTGAGAGTGCTTGTGTGAGCTAATTATTCAGCGAAGGCAAAACATTTCTCAGCAGCGGTGTTCCCGGTCAATGAAATACAATGTGTGAACGTTGTGTAAAGGAGAAAACAAGGTGTTTCTCTTGCACATGAAAAAGCGGATTATTCTGCGTTGTTTACCGGCGGTTAATGTGTGGTAATCTCAGGTTATTCGTCCATGAAAAAAACGGCTGACTATTGCACTACGAAGAAACGGATAACTACTGTCTCATGCCAAAGGCGACGATGTTTAACGCTGTTCATATACGGGACATAGATTTTAAGAATGTATAACAGTTAACCACATAATTTACTAAACTTGTTATAAGACAACTGTTTCAAAGGTAAAAAAATATTCCTCTAACGTCAATGTTATTCTGTCCACATTAAATTACTAATCTGCGTCCAACATGTGTTTTGATATACCAGGCACACATGGATGAAGTTTGATTCCTCTTGAAGAAAACGGCGACAAATTACTTCAAGCAAGGAACTCCATTCCAGTGCACTGTCTTGTGGTGTCGGATCATTGTGACAGTCTAGTCCCTTACTGTGAGGCTGATGGGAATAGAACAATCGGATGAGCTATACGGTTCTCGGAAAAACTTCTATAAAAGTCTAAAAGGAGGCGTCGGCACTTACCGAAATGATTGCCTACTGGAAGGCAATTGAGCTGTGCGGGAAACATATTCATATTGATTCGCAAAATTAGCATTTTGACTGAGACGAGAAAACACAAGTTAACAGTTGAGGGCACCAGAATATACCAATACACTTGCGGGAAACTACACTCAATTTTGCCGACAGCCCACTATTTTTCTTAAAGAAATGTTATTCTTAGAAAATGACTTGATTTTCATAACGATGCAACGAAGTAGTCTGGTCATCGAATAGATATTGGGACCTTTGTTTCAAAATCCTCAAAACGATGACTGAAACCCAAAAATCAAAAAGAACTACTCTTGTTGTGCCACGCTGAATGTCCTAACCTCTATCTCTCTGCAAATGTCAAAGTAAAAACGTGCTGCCAACATTAAACCTAACTGATTTCGAAACTTTCCACCAATGCATTACAGTTAAAACTCAATATATCAATGGTTCCTGATTTTTTGCCGTCATCGGTGACCATCTTTCTAAAATTAATTGAAGTAAATAGCCTTACTTCCACCAAAACATCGTTAATAACCTTAGCAATTTCGAAAGCTTGCCTCCACAAGCCTAAAATGTGCCATCCCAGGAACACTGCTCTACAGAGGTCTTTTGCTGAACATGAATCAATCTTTGTGAAAAACCATGGTTAGGAACAACGGTTTATCAGGTTAGGTCACTTTGATTAACGCCTTCCCAAAGAAACGAGCCCACCAAAAACTGATTCAGTTCACTAATGGAATCTAGCTGAAGGTAGAAAAGACCAGAAGAAAATGTTTTATCCGGTCGATTTCCACTTACGGCTATCAATAGGTCTCACTTACAACGGTCCTTTTTTAACTTCGTTCGATTTCTGTCACCACTATCTTGAAGGACTTAAGTGGCCCAAAAATTTTGTCTGAGTCGGAAAACTCAGAATATTCTAATCTGTCCTTAAGTTACTCTCTTTTATGGAAGAATTCTACTCCCTGACAATTTTCTCACATAATTTCACTGCCATTCTACCAACAACCCAAAGGTTTTTACCCGTCTCAAATTCCTGTTTTAGAACCAATCAGAAGTCAGTTTTAACTCGCACCTGATTGGTAGATTATTCCGACGGCAGTCTTTTTATACATATGTTATCAGTGTAACAATCCAGTGTAATAATCCATCAGGATATTGGATTTGTGAACGTTTTTACATGAACCCCTCCATTCTAAAATGGCATATCAAAGTCTGTACACTATCAGGGAAACTACATTTAACTCTGAGCTTTATGATCTCAAAATCACTCCGAATTCCTATCACCCCAATCGACTAACCGAACCTCATGGGAACGTTACAGTGATTCTGAAAAGCATCTTCACACGGATGGCCTACACTCTGTGCATTTACACCACTGTTATCATATTTTTCTTCGCCTACGTGTATATATTGTTCTACTTTGCGATTCTACCCGATCACCCACGTATCACCGGTTATTCAAATCTGTTGCAACTGAACCCAGGTTTAGCAGTTGTTCCGAATCCCAATGTGCGCACAACCCTTGTCCACGTCCGGGTATCGGATCCTGTGTCCTATTCCTCAATGGTAGACGAAATGACCGCATTTCTAACTCACTATCAAACACACACGGTTGGTGGGATGTTTACAGATTGTGAAAAGAAACAGGGATATGTGCATTTCAGACGGGTTTGTCGATACTCGTTGGATGCTGGAGGACCATGCAATTTGAAAAATGGATTCGGGTTCTTTCGAGGTCAGCCGTGTTTTGCAGTCAAGCTGAATCGCATTTACGGATGGTTGCCTGATATTTCAATGAATGTAACTGGTGTGCAGGTGAAATGTGAGGGGCTTACAGAGACTGACGCGGCCTACCTGGGCAAAGTGTGCTATTATGATATGGATTCTTTACAACGGCATCACGGGCTGCACCGAGATGCGGAATGGTGTGATAGAGATTATGGGATATTTAATCAAATGTACTATCCTTTTCTAAATCAAGGTCACTACCAGTCACCAATCGTGTTCGTGCAGTTCCGAAATCCGAAGCGATACGTGGTTATCTGGATCAAATGTTATGCGATAGCAAAAAATGTTCACGTAAATCTGGAGCAAAATGAAGGTTCTATGGTTTTTCAACTATTGGTTGACTAATTTAAACTAAAAGATAGCTATATAATCATTCTACTGCCTTAAATGGACCTCAATTTTGTAAAATCCTCCTCATTTTGGCCTAATTTTGTTTTAGGAATTCACAAAGCACATTTGTTACACAAACAATATAATGGTACCGTTTCTTCTAACACACGTCATCTCATACGCCGTTTAGACATCAATTTGCTGGAACCTGTAGCTAAACCTTTTTTCGCTGAATTTATGATTTTACAAATAAGCTTCTTCCAAATTTATTCGTGTGCTGTTTAACTAGGACCTTATAACTATCATTCAAATTTAATCCACTTTTGTGTAAAAGGTGATCGCTGTACCTGTGCTTGCAAACTTAAATGCTTTCGGTGTACGAGTATATGTACTGTATACGAGTAATGCTTCTTCCGGGAATGGTTGAAAATTAGTCGTACTACAGGATAGTAATGCATTGATATAAACAACCGGCTACAGTGGAACGACTGAGGGCGAGTGGTAAGGTTCACTATGCTTAAATAATAAAAAGAGATTTCGGTTTTGAATGTCCACCCAAATACACAAAGTATTTTAGTCCTCCATTATACTGTGAACAGTTCTGAGGCACGCAACTGCCTGCAGTAAAAACCTCAAGGTAAGGCCTCGGTAAACTACTCGAAAGAAAATGCATCTGATGCGACAAATAATGGGGTAGAGGTTAGTTTTACGTAGGGGATCTGCGAATATACGACTATGAACCAACCTATTTCGTTAACTTTTTATCGCAGTTTCTGCTAATGTCAAAGATTTGCTCTATTCCCGCCGCTTAACTTCATCCCAATCATTTACACAATACTGACTAGATTGAACTTTTTCTCACATCTCATTTTGTACAGCACCCCCTCCACCGAGGGGAGCAGCTTAGGGGAGTCCCAATTGTTTCATCCACGGAGATAGTTATCTTTAAAATGGCTGATCTTGAGAACCATACCGCAGTCTCATTATAGTCGGGCAATGAACGTTTCAGAGGTTAGGTGACGGTAGGTTGGAAGTTTCCAGGGGGCTTGAAATGCACGTGAATGATTTTGATTGCCCTTAAAAATGTGTATCGTCACGAACGGGCGGTACCTTTCCGAGATGTGAAGGTCTCCGCATCTTCATAACTCATTCGGCTATTGTACGGGTGAATGTACATGTAAGGATCACAGAGCCCTCTGTATCAGGTTTGTCAATAATTGGAGTTTCAACTAACACAGTATCATGATCCTCCAATTTGGGGGTCGGAACTTGTGTAGCCACCTTTTGATGGTCTTACTTCAATCACCGCTGCCTTGGTGTTGGACTTTCGAGCTAAAAGCATTCTAGGTCTGGGAGCTTTACAAATAACTTCACGTCACGTATGGCACCATCGGCCGTGTCATATTACGTGCTGCATACAGCGGTGCGACGGAGCGGAAACACACTACTTCTAGAGCCTACCTTCTTCCGGTTTCCTGTATTCGTCCTCTTCGTCCTCACTCTGTTGTCAGTGGCATCTCCTTAGGCAAATCCTAAGTAGTGAAAGATCCGTTGACCATCCGCTGCCGTTCGCTGCAATGATTCTAGTTAACTCGTCCTCCACGGCCACAGACAACTCGAAATCATTCTTCGAACCCCAATGCTCACTTCATCTGATTGTCGTTAACGTTTGCACTCAGAAATAAGCCGAGCAACAGAGTGGTCTTGCATGCGTAATGTACTCGATTTCTATTGATGTGTGGTGTCTCTCTGAAACGCAGGTTCAAGACCCAAGCATGGTTGTTGAAGTCACCTCTCCATCGGCTGCGTATCTTTTTCGGTTGTGCACTATGGGTGATCCACAAACCACTGCGACTGATTCTTCCGGATGTCGCATTCATTTCAAGTCATCCAGCTGAAAGATTGCTCGGATTGTTGCCCTTTGATAGTCTTTTCTGTGTGATCCGCTTGACAACGTCTCTGAGGGTATCCCGTAAGCGCGCCGATGATCACTACCTGATCATCGTATTTGCTTGCGTCCAAACAGAATAAAACTCTAATAAACTCAAAGAGAGCAACTACGACTCTGAGCGTCTTGTTTGGGCGGGCTAATGGCCGGAATAGTGATATGATTAGTGGATAGTTTTAGCCCTGTTAAGCCTTCATTAAATGGTCTTCCTAGAATGGAATTGAGAAGCACGGGTAGAACCTGGAGTTAAGCGCTCATCACGGACTACTTCTATGGAGTACTAACTTTCAAAACAACCAAGGCCGCTAGGCAACACGGTGCCCTTCACATGGGGGCCCACCTCCAACACAGATGGACTTTGTTGTCGTTAGCGATAGGTGGCTTGTATTAATTACTAATTATCACTAGTTCTAAGACACCTACGTTGATTCGGACTGCGAGGGTGTTTGCTACTGCTCCTCTTTGTGCTTTTCGGAGGGGCGAAAAATGAGCACAACTCTCCTGGCCATTAGAAGCTCCCGGAGAATAAGGTAGAATAATTCTACCAGAACCACCTACAGAAGCCTCTTTTGGACAACACATCTTATGATGTTGACTCACTGAAATGTGCTGTCCGCAACCCAGCGAGAAGGGCTCCGCACGTGGCACGACACAACGAACTAGTTCCAAGCACTGGGTCTTGAAATTGCTCAAAGCCCGAAAATGTACTTCTGGTTGAGAGTTCCACACTACCCGAAGGACCGCCAAACCTCAGATTAAAAACAACGGATCGAGAAGATTGGTAGTTCTAGAGAGCTTAGAATATGCAGAAGGCGGGGAACTCTGGGATTGTGTGTAGGCTGTTATAGGTGGTAATCACAACAGGCATACAGAGGGCCCTGATAAATGAGTACCTTTTCTAAATAAATAAAGCGATTCATTCTATGGTTCGAACCCTTTCAGTCCCAGTTAAACTGAACATCTGCAGTCATTCACATGGATTCCCCACCCGTGAACAGTCCTGGCCATGGCCGTTTCAAAAATCGACGGCTTCACGCGTCACTAACCGGATGACCCTAATGGGCCCACACTCGATATGTTCAAAGGTGGAGGTGAAATCTTCTGTCGGTGCTTGTCTGACATATCTGCCTCTATCTAGACTAAAGCAACCGTTCCACCTAAATGGAGTGAAACTGGTGCCCACTTTCAAAAAGTCAACTCTCGGTAAGTCGGGTAATTACATAGGAGCTTGATTCCGGTTTTGACCAGGCTCTTTGCATCGCTGCGAAGCGCAATGTCCGAGCCTGAGAACGGCAAGTAAGATTCTGATTGAGGACAACAAGTGCGGACGATGCCTTCACACTCCAACAAGTGATGAGGCGACTGGATGTGTGGGGGCACTATGCGAATCTGGTTTCCTTGACCTCGAAAGTGCGTCCCATTTTGTTGACCGGTTCGTACTTTGCAACATGCTGATGCGACTCTTCATGACCCAGCGATTCTTGAATATCATTGCTATTTGTATTCGGACACCTTTGGGTGTATGAGCGTATGGCGAGCTCTGCAAAGCCTTCAGAAAAGATCATGTGCCCAACAAGTGCGTCTATTCTACTTTTGTGTGATTTTGCCTTTGACGAGGCAGTGAGGCGAACAGTCGAAGTTATCCAAAACTTTGGTGTTTTGATCTATCTCAGAGACGTCCCTGTCTCTCCGCAATTACAGACGATAAGGTTCTCATTTTGAAGGGTGTGGGTAGTGCAAACACGACCAGAAAAGCTGAACAACATCATCCAGTCTATCGGCATCTAATCGCCCCGAGGAAGTGTAAAGTCATGCCGCAGGACTCATATTTTTTTAACATGCCTCTAAGAATTCAAGGAGTAACACGAGGAGTTATGTAATGTTGTATTTGATGATTATAGTGTGTTAGACGATGTCAACGCATGAACTTTGGAGGCCAGAACTACGTTTGTCAAATCGCGCCAATTGAGGCACCAAAAATGCATCCCACTCGGCCGCAAGGGAAACAACGTATCATAGCACGGTGCTGCATTGTTATACGGCCTCCAGACCTGACCATTTCGAGCAGAGGATTTGAGAAATTTCCATGACCTTGATCACCACTAGCAGAAAACTAAAGCTGGAACCGGCTATGGCCGAGTAACTTGGAATAAGAGTAGAAGAAATCAAGTCTTTGGTGGTGCAGGCGGTACTTCACTCAAGGACTGTGTCCGGAACTACGAGATAAGTTAGTTAGGCCGCGTTCAACGCGTCCTGAGTTACCACCTTTAGAGAAGAGCGTTGTTTACCACGCCCGATTCGGAATGACGGAATCCCACAGATTGCCAACATATCGAAATACTGGTGGCTCGAGTGTATTTACCAGTGGCTAATCAGACATTCCTCGATCTTATCACCGAGTTTGATAGTTGGCTTGCAAGCCACTTGGCAAGCTCGGCGAACAGATTAACCGTCATCTGGACAACCACTGGTAATCCTACAGGTGCACAGAATGTGAAATGGCAGAACGAATGAGGGAGTTTACGAAACGTTTGAGTGCCATTCGCCGTCCCTGATGGGGTTCACGTGACACTACGTGTTTGGCTGCATACATTGAACCATATGGCGGCTAACCATAGTATCCAACCTGCAAACTAGTGCCACTTGATTGTCGGAAGTGTAGACACCTTGGGTGTTCATAGTAGGTTAGCCTAGGTCACCTTCCGTCCCCCATCTTTTATTTTACCCACTACTGACATGGCTGTGCGATGACAGCAGTTTTCTCGCCTGATGTTTTTAGTGATGATGATATTGATGATGAGGATGATGTTGATGTTGATGAATATCCACGAATCAGGCACACATACTAGTGCAGCGTTGACAGCAGGCCTTAACCAACACACGATATCGATACGACAAAAGAAGCACTAAGTCATCAGGCTTCGCTTTATCCTCCCCCAACTGTTCGCTTTCGGTTTGCAAGTTAATTGGGAAATGTTCCGAATCATGGTGCCACTTATATAGAGCGATAAACTAGTGACTTCGTTTAGTCAATCGAGTCAAATAGTGCTTCTTGTCTTAAAATGTG